TCCAAAATTAACACTTGCCACCAGCCAATGGCTGATTGATTTGACCATTTGGCAGGTACAAAAAAATGCAGGGTTACATATTAAAACAATTGCTTGGCCGGTAGATTTTTTGAAATGGCGGATAAAAAAGGACACAATTTTGGACCCTGCTCATGAGCAACGTCAACCAAGTATTACACCCTCCCTACCAGCAGGACATGAGTAACCAGTCCTAGCTAACTGCTGGGTGCCTTACCCGGAAGCTCTTCCTTGGGCTGAAGAGTCGAGCCTCCTCCTTCTGGTACTGTCTGAAGAAGGGATGGGCCAGGGCCTGCTCAGCGCTCAGACGCATAGCTGGATCCACCACCAGCAGTCTGGAGATCTGAGGGGTTAACAAAATGTATAGGAATTGCCATCACTAATTGGTATAAGGTTAGCCGTTTGAATAAGATAAAATGTACTTTATTAACCCCAGATGGGAAATTAGGGTAATTGGTTGATGGTTGAGTTATTGATTGATTACTAAATGTATTCTAGACTATTATTAATACGATCCATCTTGAAAAAAAAAAAAGGTTAAACCATACCAAAGTATGAAACGTCTTTCATCAACACAGCTCCAACTTAAGACCCTATCCCACCCTTTCTCGTTTTACTGGTGAACTTAAATCCAACCAGGTCACAAAAACAAACACTTCACACTTTAGACAGACTCATTCATTTTTCAGTTGGGGTTTATGGGTTATACTTTTATTATGTTATGGGTCCTATTTTTGTATAGATTGTTAACTCCAGTGACTTATTTTGCCCTCAATAGTATTTCTAAACATTGTGTTTGTTTGATATGTACCTACTACATATTTCGCCTTTGAGAGAATCATTTTTCTTGAAAAACCCAATGAACAAAGTTTACTACAAAAATAAATGACAGACCGATTAGAAAAATCATCATGTGTTTACCAGGTCTCTGACTGTGTCCGAGCGGTCGTCCCACTCCGGGGAGTTGAACTGGTAGCGGCCGTCCATGATCATCCGGAGCATCAGCATCTGCTTGCGGTGCCAGAAGGGCGGCGAGCCGGCCAATAGGGTGTACAGGATCACGCCACACGCCCAGCTGGACGACGCGATCGAAGAAATTCAATTGTCGGGAGAAGGATGCATTATTTGTGTCTTTCACTTGACCAGAAATTTTCTTTACGAGTCAAAGGCACAGCACAGTGGTGGAGTGACGAGTTACAGAAGGTAACGTGACCCCAGTGGGAATCGAACCCGTGACCCTAGCGGTGTCGAGGCCTAGCTCTGTCTACCAATTGAGCTGGACAGGGCCACAGACTGAGGTTTTTTTTTACTTTTATGTACATACTTTTTTGTTATTAAAGTGTTAAGATAAGTGTACTTAAATAACATTCAATGGACACTCACAGGTCGACCTCTTTACCATAACCTGGATGTGTTTCATCCATGGAGCATTTCAGGATTTCTGGAGCCAAGTAGCCAGGGGTTCCACATAGCTCTGTAGCACACACAACAATGGCAAATAAACCGAATGAAATGGGAGGAGGCAACTACAAAAATATGGAACGTCTCCATTAAGTTGCTATGCAAATGGTGGTTCACAATGGGTTTTGGTTTTCGTGTGCTTCTTTATTTTGTCTGACCTCTGAGATTCTCCTCAGGCTGCAGCTGGACAGAGAAACCAAAGTCAGAGAGTTTGATGTGTCCCTGGTCATCCAGCAGGATGTTCTCTGGTTTCAGGTCCCGGTGGATGATGTTGAAGGAATGTAGGTACTGGACTGCTTCCAGTAACGCGCGCACGATGCTCCTGTCAACCACAAGATTCAGCGAAAAAGCTTATTGAATGTGACCATGAAAAGAAATGACTCGAAAAGAAAAATTTCAGAGGAAGTAGAACTTGTTTTTTTTTCACCCGATGGAGCAAGTAGGGCAACACAATTGTATACAATGGTTAAAAAAAAAAGAAAAAAAAGAAACACCAACATCATTTGTTGTGGTCTCACCTGGTCTCCTTCTCACTCAGAGTCACCTTTTCTGTGAGGTAGTCGAAAAGCTCTCCTCTCCGCATGCTTGCAAGGAGAAAAGTAATGAAACACAACCATTACCCAGGTTAACCTGGTCGACAATCACTTGGTCGACAATCCTGCCTCGTTTGCATAACTGACATTCATACTCACAGGTCAAACACCAAAAAAATGAAGGTAGTGGATTCGTAGGAATCGATGAGGGTTACTGAGGAGACGGACATGAATAGCAGTGTATTACTACTGAGCTCTGTGCCGGGGTACAACAACAACAGCAGACCCCCCCCCCCCCCCCCCCCCAACACCAACTTACTGATTGATGAATGCCCCTTCACCATGTTGAGGACGCTGATCTCCTTCAGCGTGGAGCTCTTCACCTCCTGCAGCTGCTGCGCCGTCATCTTCTCCGCCGTGATTTCGATGACCTTCACCGCCAGCTCCTGGCCCGTGTGTCTGTGCACACACCTGCGCACCACACTGCTCACACCCCTGAAACAGAAACCATGGGTGGGGTGGGTGATGGGTGATGTTGGTGGGTGGGGGTTAAGACAGGATTGGCAGGATTGATGAGTATCTGCAATTGATGGGTCTTTTGTTATGGACTGACCTGCCGATCACCTCTTTGGGGTCATACTTCTGGTAAAACTCCTTGGCCCCGACCCAGTCCGGCAGCTCGTCTCCCACGATGATGTCTTTCGTCATGGCAACGGGTTATGAACCTATGGCGATTGAAGGAAAGAGGAAATGGTCTTGATATGTGACATCCGCATGTTTCTACTGTAATCGCGTTAGAAACACCATCGGACAACCGCGTTTACTACTTTACACCACACACACACACACACACACACACACACACACACACACACACACACACACACACACACACACACACACACACACACAGCACGCTAGACAGCACCATGTGTAGCTAATTTAGCCTGGAGGTCTTTAGCACTGGGGAGAAACGACAACCCTTTTAACACCACTATCTCTCTCCGAGCGTGAAACGACTTACCATTTAGCTACACGATAATAAGATGATATCAAAAAAGTAATCTCCGTGCAGGGATGAAACTAAAAGCTAAAATGCACCTGCAACTATGCCATCCATGACCTACTACCAGCTACTACTGGTTGCGCCTAGACTGTTGTTTACGTTCAACCGATCCCGGCTTCACGCGCTGCAGCAGCGCCATCCCGTGGAAAGGAGTGGACACTGCAGGAGTGTAACTGTCCGGCTTGCATATGTGTACGTCTTTAATAGTATACATTCAGAATTTTTTATAACGTTAAAAATTAACAATTATTAAATTATTAAATAATATGGCACAGTAATATGACGCCGTTCGTTATTTTGTTAAATTTTAAAAAATGTCACTACCGGAAATGTGTTTACGTCACGTCCGGTGGCGTCTAGACTCCTCGGCTGCTGTTGCTACCTGTTAAAAGGTTTGTAGTATTTGTTAGAAAACAGAAAGGTATGGCAATATATTCCCAGATGGTGGCAATTGATCTACGGGTCGTTTGTCCTTTTCTTTGCGCCAATAGAAAAATCAGAGGATTGTTGATTCATTCATTATAAGAACTCAATAAAGCTGCCTCGCTAGCCTATTAGCAAGTCAGCATCGCTAGCTTGGAAAGATAAGCTACCGTGATTATAAAGTGCTACACAATTATTAAATGTATTAAATGAAAGGCGAGTATTCGTCGTTCAGGCCTCACCGTTTTAGTTTCCAGTATCTGTTGTGTAGTTGACCAGGAACTTCCTTAGAAAAAAATAATAACATAATAACATCTAAACGTTTGTAAGGTACCACTTGATGCTGAATTATTGTACTTTTGTGTGTCTGATTGACTCCCAGAGATCAGCATGTCGGGTACCGGGGGAGGGAAGCGGCCCTCCGGAGGGGACAGCCCCCCTGGCCCACCTGAGAAGAAGAGCAAGAAGGAGGAGAAGACCACCACCACCCTGATTGAGCCTATACGTATTGGCGGTGTTTCATCTACGGTTAGTTGTCTTCTGCCTGCAATCAATCCCAAGATGTATGCCACCTCACACAGAATGTGCTTGTAGTCTTTGATTCACATTGTCTACACGTGTACGCGCTGTTGTGTGTTGCAGGAGGAAATGGACTTGAAAGTAATTCAGTTTAAGAACAAGAAGCTGTGCGAGCGGTTGGAGCAGAGGCAAGCGATGGAGGATGAGTTGCGAGAGAAAATCGAGAAGCTGGAGAAGAGACAGGCCACCGATGACACGACCCTCCTCATCGTCAACCGCTACTGGTCTCAGGTGCTCCCGTCATGCTTTGAGTCACGTCGTTATCATATCATCACTTCATCAACTTGATATTATATAGGGTTGGTTAACAAAGTGGTCTCATAGCTAGGGAGCTGTTGTAGAGCACACACTGTTGTTGTCAGAAAAACCTCTGGGCTGGGCGATAAGGCCAAATTCTTCTATCCCGATATAGGTCATTCAATATCTCAATAACCATATATATCACAATATAGCATGATTTCTGGTAATTCAATAAATAAATAGTCTATATAAAATAACCACATGGTAAAGCCTATTTTGTATACTCCTGTTTGAATTAAATACTTGACAAATACAACGTATTTTCTCATTTCCTCACTGTACTAAAGTGCAGCCTTTAAAACCAGGACAAGACATGTTTGCCATATTATGATATCCAAAATCTAAGATGATATCTTGTCTCATATCCTGATATCGATTGTAAAATCGATATATTGCCCAGCCCTACTGAACATTAAAACAAAAAAACTAAACATGTATAACATCGTATAACATCACCTTCCCACAGTTGGAAGAAAATGTCGGCGTCATGCGCCAACGCATCAAACCCGCCGCTCCTCCGCCCGCCCCCCGTCCCCTCTCGGCACCCCTCCCTGTGGAGGATGGGGAGGCTCCGCCCCCACCGGCCCCCACCGCGCCTCCACCTCCGCTCCCTGATGGTGATGCAGAGGAGGAGCAGCGTCGGCCTCAACAGGAGCAGCAGCAGAAGGAGCCGCCTCCTCCCCCTGAGGGAGGGGCGGAGGACGCGCCCAGGCCAACGGAGCCCCCCCCCAATGAAGCAGCAGTTGGTAAGAGAGAGATTTTCCTCCACTTGTTTGTATTGCATCTCTCTCTCTCTTCAAAATCTTAATTTGGACTGCATCTGTATAGCTTGTATTGTGCTTGTAAGTGCTTGTATGGTCTGTCCATTAGATCACGTGTATCTCATTCAGGGCTCCAGACTAACTTTTTCACAGGTAGCACTGGTGCCACCTAGCTTTTCATTTAGTAGCACCAAAACAAATTAGGTAGCACCATATTTTTCAGCGGGGGGGGGGGTGGCCCCAACCAATATGGCGGCGACGCTGGGTTACGTTCCAGCACGTCATGAGGCGTCTACGTATATATGTGTATGGGATCAACCAGGATGGCCGTAGAAAACCGTAGTAATCGGGCCGCACCTGGAAGTGCTCGCCATGGCCCCGAAGCTGAGTCGGGGAACTAACTGTGCGGTCCGCGCTGCGTAGTGCGAGGCGGCGTCGCCGTTTTCGGAGGTTCCCACGGGAAGGGGGGAGACCAGCCGTCCACGGCAGGACTGCACGACACTCATGCTTTGGTGCAAAATAATCTACTATCGACCGCTTCATATCTGCTTTGTTTAATTTTTTTTAATTTAGCGCGATCATTCAGTGAGCGCGCTGCGTGTACGCGCGCGCGCACGACTGTGCACATAACGTGTGCAGACAGGCAGGCAGACATAGAGCGAGAGAGAGAGAGGAGAGATAGGACTCGCAGGAATGAGCCAGAAAGTAATATTTTATTATCAACCACAACCATTAATGCACCAACATAGCCGCGGGAGTGGGGAGAGAAAGAAAAAAAACAAAAAACTTTTTTCTCACTCGTCCTCCTGCAAGTAGCACCGGAGCGACCTCGTTACATTTTAACTCGCACCTTAAGAAATTAGGTCGCATATGCAACCTAATAGGTCGCACTCTGGAGCCCTGATCTCATTAGTACATTATTGAGTCAATTAGGGTAATTGTATGATATTGTCTGTATGGCAGAAGTAGTGGAAGCTGGCAAGCTGTTACAAGAGAGCAAGTAACAAATTGGATGAACCAAAATTTCCTTCAATTAAATCAGGACAAAACTGAGGTAATTGTTTTTGGCAATAAAGAGAAGAGGACTGCCGTCAGTAAACATCTCGAGTCACTCTCTCTAAAAACTAGGGACCAAGTCAGAAACCTTGGCGTGCTGATAGACTCA